TGTTGACAGCAAATTAATATAAATTCAAATATCATGAATATTGTATACTTTATAGGACTACTTTTAAAAAAGTGTATCCATTTACTAAATGGCTTTTAAGTAAGCTTATGATCCTCATAATTAGATCTGTCTAAAATATGTTTATTCTCTTATAGTTTTCTATAAAACCATTTGGAGTCTGCTTTAAGACCAGGATAGAAAACAGAAAAGTAAACCTTAAATGCCACCCTTGATACAATGATATGTATTCTGCTGATTAAAATATCACAAATTCAAAGGCTCAAATAAATGAATGACCATGTTATTTTCAGAGTCAGCAAAGCTATGAGTCTGATAAGATTCCAGTTTCCAAATCAGTGACCACCCATCCAACATTTAATGTTAACTATTTAGTACACTCAATAAAAGTTAAGTTCAGGACATTTTCTAGGGAAAAAAACAAATCCATAATGATGTATTTAAAGATCATTCAGAGCAACAATGCAGAGAAAATAGATACACTCATAGCAGAGCTCTCTCATCATCCCAAACCCAAATTCACCAACCTACTTAGCAGATGTGCCTACAAACTCTTTCTTTCCTCTTGCTATAACTTTAAGGGTGGCTTCTGCCCTTCTCAAGGGCAAACCCTTTCCTAGCGTTCTGCATTCCATCTTCCTTTTAAGGACTTCTTCCCAGCAATTATTCCCTTTCTACCCTATACCATCAATACCCCTCTCTGTACTTACTTGATCATTCCCATTAACATAAAACATGGGTTAACTTTATCCATCTTAAATTAAAACACAACAAAACAAACTTCCTGGGCTCCAGTCCCTAGTGCTCCAGCTGTCACTCAATGTCTACACTATCCTTCACTGCAAAAATCCTCAAAAAACAGTTATTTTTCCTCATTTTCATTTGCATACATTTTTTTCCTTTTTCTACCTACTCCAATGAGACATTTGCCCATACCCCTCATTGAAACAGCCCTCACCAAGTAACAATGCCATTTACCTACCCAAAAACAATGTCAAACTTTTTATCATTTGTTGTGGGTTGAATTATGCCCCTCCCCAAAAGATATGTTGAGGATTTAACCTTTGGTACCTATGACTATGACCTTATTTGGAAATAAGTTCTCTGTAGAGGTAATAAAACCTAAGATTAGGCCATACTCAGGTGGGAGGAGGATCCAGTATGATTGGTGGTGTTATAAGAACAGAAGACAGAAACACAGGTACAGAGGGAGAATCCATGTGATGATGCAGGCACAGATTAGAGTGATATGTCTACAAACCAAAGAACACCAGTGATTTCCAGAAACACCAGAAGCTAAGGGAAAGGCATAAAAGAGATTCTCCTGTAGATCCTTTAGAGAGAACCCGGTTCTGCCAACATTCTGATTTCAGACTCCTGGCCTCCAGAACTGTGAGAAAATAAGTTTCTGTTGTTTTAAGCCCCCAATTTGTAGTAATTTGTTATTGCAGCCAGGGGAGCATCATCTTATTTAACCTCTCAACAGCATTTGACATGGTGAGCATTCTTTCCTTTGAAATTGTTTCTTCTTCCATGTTTGCAGCATGGCTCCCACCTGACTTTTCTCTTACTTGCTACTTTCAGTATTAGTTGCTGGCTCTTTCACACATTCCAGATCTCTAAATGTTGGGGTACCCTAAAGACCTGTCATAGGACTTCACTCTTTTTACCTACACTCTCTACCTAATAAATATTTGCAAGTCCATGACTTTATATACCATTTAGGTATTGGTATCTTTCAGATTTATATTCTAACCAAGACTTCTCCCCTAAGTTCCAAAGCAATATATGTAAAAGACAATCAACTTCTCTGCTTGAGTATCTAATAGGTGTCACAAAATTAATACTGCCAACACAGAACAATTTCATTATTGATGCCCGAAATCAGCATTCCTCAGGAGTTCTCTTGTTACAGTGAGTATCACTGACATCTACCACTTGTTCAAGCCAAAACCTGAGTAGTCACCCTACTTTCCTTTCTTTAATATTCCACACCAAATACACCAATGAGTCCTATCTGTTCTGCCTCCAAAACACAGACACGGTTCAGTAACTTCCCTCCATCTCTACTAGTACCACCCTGCTGTAAGAGTTTCGTCTCTTGCTGGTTGATTATAAAAGCTCCCTATCTTACCTCTTTGCCTCTCTCTAGGCCTCCTTCCCACATCTTCCACCCTGCACAGCAGCAGTGAGATCAATCTTTCTAAAGTGTAAACAAGATTAGGTCACTTCTCTATTTAAGTTGCCCATTGACCTTCTAGTTTAAAAACAGAAGAATATAAAAATTAAAATTAAAGAATAAAATCAAAATTCCTTAAAGTCTCTATGATCTGGCTGCTGATTTCCTCTCTGATTTCACCTGTCTCTATAATCCCTTTCAGTAAATATATTCCCGCCATTCTGGTTTTCTTACCTTCTCTTGAATATGTCATGACTGCTATTATCTCAGGAGCTTTTAATAGGCTGTTCCCTTTCCTTGGGATGTCTCTCTCTCTCTCTCAAATCCTTTTCTATTTTGGGGTGTCTCTCCCTTCAAATTCTGTGGCTACCTTCTTCATGTCACTGAAGTCCCAACAGATGTCACCTCTTTGAAGTGATTTTCCTGTATACCTTAGCTAAATCAACCAAACACTCTATTCAATCTCTTTCTACTCGATTTTCTACTTTTATGTTCTCCATAGTACCTATCCAGAGACGCATTTAATTTTTCCACTTTTATTGTGCTTACTTCTTATCTCCCTCTCTAAAATATAAACCCTTTAAGATCCTGGATTCTGAAGTACCCCAGTGTCCCAGGGACTAAAACAGTTTCAGGCATGAGCAGGTGCACAAGAAAATGTAGTGAGTGATTGGCAAGTGGATGGGAGCTGGGTAAGAAAATACATAGGCATATCATTTAGGAGACTATTATAGTAATTTCCTTAAGATATAATGGTAGTTTGAATCAAAGTAAATACGCAAACAATGAATCATGGAACACTACATCAAAAACTAATGATGTAATGAATGGTGACTAACATAATAAAATATAATTTTAAAAAAATGATAGTTGAGATGGTGAAAAGTGAAGTAATTTGATTTACATTTAGGAGAAATTAGTGGTTCATTCAACATGAGTGAGAGAGAGTAGGGAGTCTACAGTAACTGACATGCTTCTATCTGAGTAAATGCACTCATTGTTAAAGGAAATACCAACAGGAGAGAAAGACTTAAAAAGATATTTTTGAGAGGAAGTATACCACTGTGGTTAAAAATGTGGGTTCAGGGTCTCTAAAGCTATTTGTGCTTGTTGGTTCTACTGTGGAATCATGGGCCATTTTTTCAACCTTATGGAATCAAATTTCCATTCTTAATATAGATGGAATTTGTTCTTGTCAAGTATATTTTTAAATTTATATGAATGCTTTCTTAATCCTTATCTTGTTTGATCACTAATGATCATTTGTTCCTTCCTTGACGTCCTTATCATGGATTCCTGTGACATCCCATTTTTTTGCCTTTCTTTCCACTTTTTTAGCTGCTCTTTCTATTAAGAGTAAGATAAATTTCAAACTTTCCTGTTGTAATTTAGAAGGCCTTCCAGAGTCTAGTCACTATCCATATTTCCAACTTCACTTCTTTAATCTCACTTGTCCACCTCCTCCAAGAAACTTTCCCTGATTTCAAGTCCAGGTTAATTCTATTAAATTATCTAACCAAAGTATGAATTTTTCTCTCTATGAAGTATATTGAGGATTTTGTCTGCATGTGAAATTTCCAAGAGCCCTGATAGAAAAATTGCAACTATTTTTTGAGAAAACTATGGTAAAATAGACCTCCTTATACACATATTTTTCTGTTGCTGTTTTAAATTTTTCATCACACTACTTCTGATTATTTTTCTGTAAGAAACTTATTACAGTTTGAGCATGAGTATTTGCCCTTTTTTTATCCATGACTTGGAACATTTTAAAACCTACAGAAGACTGTTATCACTAATATTATATTAACAAAAGGTAAAAGTAAATATATATTCCAAATAACATTAAAAACTACATATTTGGGGCGCCTGGGTGGCTCAGTCGTTAAGCATCTGCCTTCGGCTCAGGTCATGATCCCAGGGTCCTGGGATCGAGCCCTGCATTGGGCTCCCTGCTCAGCGGGAAGCCTGCTTCCCCCTCTCCCACTCCCCCTGCTTGTGTTCCCTCTCTCGCTGTGTCTGTCAAATAAATAAATAAAATCTTAAAACAAAGAAACAAACAAAAAAACCTACATATTTGATGTAGCACACATTTTAATAAAGCAAGACCATATTCTCCTTGGATGATTAAAAATTACGTCTCTCCCTTATGTGGTTTCTATCACATCTCCCAAGGTAGGATTACAAGGCAAACTACAGGACTATCTTCTGAAGGTACCATGAAATCACGTAGGCACAGGGCAAAACTTGGGGGTCAGTGGATGATGTGACGTAGAAGAGTGTACTAGGAGGCTGAGCTGAAAAGAAGCAGCAACTTTCAACATAATACTAGCACAACATTGAAGATGACAACCAGTCTACCAATGCATTTTCTCTACAATAGATGTATGGAATCATTTTTTTCACCATGTGAGTACTTTTACAGATGTAAGTGGGAATAAAATTTTTTTCTACATACTTTGTATAATATATAAGACAAAGAACCATATTATATCCCTCATGAATTACTTCTCAGGGAAGACATTAAAACATACATTATTGGGACACCTGGGTGGCTCAGTCGTTAAGGGTCTGCCTTCGGCTCAGGTCATGATCCCAGAGTCCTGGGATCGAGCCCCACATTGGGCTCCCTGCTCCACAGGAAGCTCCTGCTTCTCCCTCTCCCACTCCCCCTGCTTGTGTTCCCTCTCTTTGTGTCTCTCTCTGTCAAATAAATAAATAAAATTTAAAATATATATATATTATTAATACCAACTGTGCCTTTAATGTATACATTTTTAGTTGTTGGATGAAGTGTACTCACGCTCACTTTTCCATTGCGATTGTCTTCTTCTCTCACTGCCAGAGCCTTCAGAAAATTATCTTGCAGGTCTTTACCAGCACTTGTTAATGTCCTATAAAAAGCAGGTCTTCAGTTGTAATACATTAGAAAACCAATATATCAAAAACATTCAGGGGCCACAAACCACACTTCTTTATTCCAAATGACAATGTCCTTATAACACAAAAACTATATATACAATTAATATAAATCATACACAATTATAATTTACTAAATTTCTCAAATTATTATACAGTTATAGAATCTGTATTTATGAATAATTAGAATCATGTCTATAAATATCATACATGCCTCTGTCAATACTCAAGCCAGATACAGTTAATTTCATTTACACATCTGTTTTATTTTTTTATCACAGCATGCAAATTTATTTATACCTCTCATTACCCACAATAATTTTAGATTGCTTATAATTTAAGTACAATTTATTTATTTAATATAAGAAAATTAAAATACTAGAAACCTAAGCCAATTCCCTTGCTGGCATAGAGCATTAATCTTACCTCTATGAGGATATAAAAAAGGCAAAAAAGGAAAGAACTAGGTTGAGTCATCTCTGTTAGATAAAAAGAAACATTAAGAATACGGGGTGCCTGCCTGGCTCAGTTGGTAAAGCATGAGATTCTTGATTTCAGGGTTGTGAGTTCCAGCCCCCTGTTGGGTATAGAGATGACTTAAAAAAAAAATCTTAAAAAAAAAAAAAGAACTCAAGAGAGGTTATAAAATAAAAAATAAGTTCTGAAGATGACTATTATACTGACAATATGTTAAGATCATACTGTTCCTTTTTTTTTTTTACTACTATTCAAGTCTTATACACATAGACTTACATCATTTCCTATAACCTCTATGAGAAAGATAAAAGTATTTTTGTTATACAAACTGGGAACAGAGAGGATAAGGTCTAGAACTCCTAAGCTATATGCAGCAGAGTCAAAAGTTATGTAAATAATGTTATTATACCATGCTACATCTGAGAACCGGAAACTTCTCATCAAGGGGAAATATTGGGCAAGAAAGTTAATGCAGTGTGTGGTAAGGAGTTCTTAAATCGTTAACATGCATTACTCTTACTTAACTAGATTTAACAGTCAGTGACCTGAGAAACCTTGCTTAAATAAATATCACAAAAGGAGTCACTTCCTCAAGAAGTGAAGTAGGTCTGTTACAAAATATTAGGGTTATAAGTTTTATAAAGGCAAATACTCCATCTTTGTTGTTTACACTCCACTACACTTTCAAAATGGGGTAAAAGTTATATGGATGAGTTAATTTTTACCAATCATGTTTAATCATTAGCTAAAGGCATTTATATAATCCTACATGAATGAGTATAAATATATTCTTAATCCTTAACAATTAGACTTCTGGTTTTATGATTTAATTATGTTGTTTGTGTCATCACACATATTTGTATTACTAGATTAACACTCGAAGAGAGTAAATAATGAAAGAGAAAAAATGGAAAACTGTTAAAATAGAAATATTTCCATGAGTTATTTTCTTAAGAGGTCACTTATTTTAAAGATTACAAAGTCTTTCAGTAAATATTTATGAGTTATTAATGATCTCAGAATTTTAAATGTAAAATTAGTTTTCTAATAGGCAAGGTTTGAATAATCATTGAGATGTGTTCTAATAAGCAGTTTCTAAATAAACACTAAATCAAATTTGAGATTAAATTGGTCTTAATAGCAACACTTTTTTTATCTATTGGGCAGTCTTTGTACTAGTCTCTATACTAGGTATTTTGCAAATACTTTCAATTATCTTCAAATCAAGCCCTAAGGGAGGACATGCTTATTTCCACTTTAGAGATGAACTTGATGATAATCAGCTGGCATTCGGTTTTTAACTTAAATATCACTAACCCCAAGGCATTATTTTACTATACTGAAGCCTCACAATATATCAAAACAGCATTTGATGCAATAGTACTTTTACAGAAAACAATGAGAATTCACTGGGAAGAGGAAACTTAAAGTAACAGGAGTGGGGGTACAGTGAGGAATGCAACCTTCATCAGGAGGTGCCCCTAGGAGTTATCAGAGGCTGGTGGTCTTGAAACCTCTATGGAAAGCTAATCAGCCATAATCATCACTCCATTCTAGAATAGAATTCTGATCAACTACTTGTTCAGAGGTAGGTTTGATTTCTAGCCAGTGAAATCTGGTATAGCCTACATTTAATAATTCTAGAATTTATATTCAATTCATCTGCACTTGTTTGAATATGTAATTCAACTTCTCTGTGCCTCAATTACTTTGAAATGATGTTTTTGTATACTTACTTTGGAAAAATTTAGTGGAGAGTATAGTAAAATGTAGTGGATAAGTAAAAGTTTATTATAAAACTTTTACAATATTATCTTCTTAGGAAATAAGCACACATCTATGAAAAAGCAGTTTTCAGAAATAGCTTTATTTTCCATGGATAAATTTACTGACAAAACTATATGCATGTATTTGTGTGGACTCAAATAATATAAATTTTATTTTTTTGAGGCCAAAATTGAAAATTATCTGCAAACTTGATAAAAATATGATTTTATTTATCACAATGTGTGCATTTTTAGATAATTTATTTGAGTATTAAATATGGGAGATATATTTCTATTGTACTTTGATGTAGGACACCTGTTGCCTTGTCTTCTACATTTTCTCCAGAACAATATAACACCTTTTTTGCTTTGTTTTTTACATAAATTAGGAGGGAAAAAAATCCTGCTTCTCCTCAAATAGTGTTTTATAAATTTCTCTAACATTGGTAAACATCTTCACATTCTTTCTTTCAGTCTATTATTGTATATTTGCTCTGTATAATCAATCTGGGTGCTATCACAAAATACCATAGATTGGGTGTCTTAAACAATAGAAATTCATTTTCTCACATATCTGGAGGCTGGAAGTCCAAGGACAGGGTACCAGCACCATCTGCTTCTAGTAACTGCTCTCTTCTCCTAAGCAACTCACTTTATTTGTACTAGTATCTCACTGTGCTTTTAATATCCATTTCTCTGATTACTTTTGTTTTTTTTTTTCTAAATTGTATGTCCTCCAAAAGCTACATGGATACCAAAAATTGTATAGAAGGAATAAAAGCAACCAGTGAACGATTTCAAGTCCTTTCCTTTGAGCATTAATTCAACAGGACAATCTATCTTTAATATCTAAGGGATTGTTTTTTAAAGATTTAAAAGGGAAAAATAGTGGAACTAAATCCAATGTGTGTTTTTTTACTCTCTTGTATTTTCTTGTAAACTATTCTTAGTGGCTTTTTTTCTTCCTTCCTTCCTTCCTTTCTTTTTTTTTTTTAAATTTAATTGGAACAATGTTCCTTAGGAGTTAGATCAATCAGGATTATATTTAGAAAGATCTATGGTTTAGGAATTTTTACACTATATACTGTTATTTCCATGGAATTTCCAGGAGGTCATCAATTTGTATTCTAATCACTTTCAGAAACGAAAAAGACTTCTTGAGAAATGAAATTCATTTATTGGTAGGAAGGAATGAGAATCAAATTTTCATTAAGATAAATGGCACCACTCCCCCCCCCACCCCGCCCCTTTTCTATGTGAGAGTTTATAAATTACCAAATGTACAGTAAAGCTATCAGCATCTCTGGGAAGAAGCTTCAACTGTTTGAAGCACACAGAAGAAAGACAAGAAGCGCTAAGATATACACTAGACAGCTGTTCTTTTTCATCTTCTATTTTGAAGAAAACCCAAGTGGGAGTCCTGAAATCTATGGTACCTTCCATCAGTCAAAGTCTACTCCCCCCTGGATAGAAAGCTGTGCGTTTCTTTGAAGGGACAAAATGGCCTGGCTTCTGTCTGAGAAAGTGTCCCTGAACTCCTCTTTTTTGGTACATCTGGAAAATTTCTCTAGTTAATTCCTAAACATGGTAGGTTAAGATGTTCTCACATTTCAAGGGGAACCAAAAAAAAAAAAGGTTGCTTAGAGAGGAAATAAACGTTCTTAGTCTCTAAATGTGATTTTATTCTGAAAACACGTTCAAATATAACTTTATTACTCTCTTCTGGGAGGTATCTAAATCTTTTACCTGATTTGAAATAGACTTCCTGATCTTCTAGTTGTATAGTGAAAGCCAATGAGAAAATAGAAAGCAAAGAAAGCAAGCTTGTTTTTGATATGCCTGCCTCCAGACTCCTCTCTACCTGTGGGAATCAGCCCCATCGCTCCACAGAACACTGAGCAAAAATAGGCTTTAGAAAGGTGAAGGCCTTCAGGCTCAGCATCTTTAGGCTGTACATGCCTAATCTCTGTGTGTGTGTCTCTAGTTCATGTATTTGAAAGATTCCATCTAAGGAGGTGAAGAATTTGACATAATGGAATTCCAGGGGGCAGCTTCTCACCAGCAAAAAGCAGTCAAAACAGAAGCCCATTCTGCATTTCTCAACAACTACACAAGATGGCAGGGACTGTCACACATGAGGGTGGTGGGCTCAGAGCAGAAGAGTATAATGATGAGGGGAGGACTGTAGGGAAGAAGAGATGTATCAGTGTGAGACGCTGGGGAGAAAGATACCTGAAGAAGACTGTTGGGAAGGCTTGCTGCATTACCCCCTCTGTATAAAGCCCTGTTATTCCTTTAATAAAACTGGCAGTATTAAGAGGTTAAGTCTGACCTCTAGTGACAAGGAGAGTTTAGAAAAGATGAGGCAACATTAAAATGAGAGACAGACAGAGACAGAGACACGGGAGGAAAGAGGCGGGTGGATGGAAGCATCCCAGACTTCGGTGCCATCTAAGGAAGGTTCAGCAAAGCCATGTCCTTGAACCAAAGTCAGCCAATAAAGATTCACAGGTCCACCTTAATATCCCTGTCACACTCAGTCATTGAGGGGGAGCAGCCTATGGGAGGTGTGGCCTTGGTGCAAATGTACAACAGGTTTCAAAGAGCAGCATCTAAAGGGACCCTCAGTTACCTACACTCTCTATATAAGATGTATTCTCATCACCACCACAATCTTTCACCCAAACCAAAAATCTTGAGGTTAAAAAACACCAACATAATAACTCATTTGT